GACAGCAATGTTCCACGTTTAGTTTAAAGCCCGACGTAACGAGTAGCTCCAAATGTGTCAAATAARCAACAGACAGAAAGTTTCTCCTAGGTATTTCTTAGTATTGAAAGTGTGCTAAAAAGGAAACTTTTCGGATGAGTTGTAAATAGCATTTATTTTTTTTTACTTTTTGTCATCTCGTTGTTGAGAGAAAACATCTAAACTTAAAACGACATTATGCCTTTGCAGCTGCTGGTGGAAAAGGCTTCTCCTGGCGGCAGTCTCATATCGTTAGGCACTGCTATGCCAGCGGTCAGAGACAATCTTATTTTATGGTGACTCAAATCTGATTTGAGCAAGAGACAGACAAAGCAGCTTCCACAGAATGTAAACAGAGGGGTGGGGTGAGGTGGAGGKGGGGGGGTGCTTCAAATTGGTTCCCGAGTCTCCCGGAGAATAATTAATGTGACATTTCCCTGACATTTAGTCAGAGGTTTGGCAGAGGAGCCTGAAGAAGGGAGGGAAGGATGGAAAGATGTGAGTGGGGAGAAAAAGACGGGGCAGAGAGAACATGGGCAGCAGCGCAGGCTTTGTCTCTGAACATCTTGACAAATAGTGTGCCTTCTACACACCTCCTTTTGTCGGCTTTGTACAGACATGAAAGTACAGGAACTAAGCAGAGGCGCAGTTACACACAAACACAYACAAACACGCACGCACACAAATCCACAGAAACATAAATAGACTGATGTTCAATACCCACTTCTTCAGCAATGGTAAAACTTTATTTTTGTTGCTTGGTAACTGTGAGTTTTATGCTCATCTCTGGCGTCCATCTGTTTATGGGCTGTTGCCTTCCCGTCTCTGAACCAGGATAATTGATGAGCCAACACTGACTCTGTGGTTGAAGCTGGACCACTCAACAAACCCACAGTTGCCTGTTAAAAATACCTAAGACAATACATCCACCTCTATTGATGCTTTTAGTAGCTTGGTCTGTGGTTTCATGTTGCTCTTTTAACCCTCAGTGTTAAAAATGAGGCCTCGTGGGTCATTTTGACCCAAAGGCAGCGGGAGGGTTAAGCTAATTAGGAATTGATAAACTCAAGTTTTTGGCGAGGTGGAGGTTGCTCTGTTTATTTATGGCCTCGTCTGCAGGGCAGCATGAAATCAATGCCAAACGGAAACATAATGAGAATCAAGGTTGTTACTAAATGTGACTTGATGGCCTAATAAGAAGAAGACCTATCATCAGCACATAGATAATGAGAGCTGTAGATGTGAACACTATGCACAAGCACTCATAATTGGTCAATGTAAAGGCTTGTGTTTATGCAACTGAAAGTGAAAGTGCAGCTCTTATGAAGCAGGTTTTAATAAAAAGGTTGTGAATCGTTAACATCTTACCTGYTGTAGGTACAGGGTTTTTCAAGTTTTAGTAAGTCAGAGAGATCAACGAATGAACAAATGTACAAATTAAAAATGGAATTACTGTAAAAGTATTTTATGACCTGAAACTAAAATTCTGGATTTATTTATTTTATTTAGGGTAATTAAATTGAATATATTTTATGACTTTTGAAATTTAGAGTTTAATTTGGACAACACTGACAAGCTGATGAATAGTCTGAGCAGAGCCAAAGTGGACTGCTTCCATCTTTAAACAAATATCACAGTAATTCATGCCAATTTTATTTTATAAACCCCTTAGATCGCTGGAACTGCTAAAGCTAGCTGCTGCTGTTTGCTTGTGGTAGTCACCACATACCTTTATGGCAGTGTCTCAATTCAGGGGTTTCAGCCCACATAGGGAGCATTTATCGGCCGCTTATGTCACTGCCCCATGGCTGTCCTAATTCCCAGAATTCATTGCATCATCAGCAAACTAATTAAAAAAAATAAAGACAGTGGAGTCCCCCGTTTTTTTTTACACTGCACTTGGAAGTTTATTATGGACCAAAGAATTTGTTTTTAAAACGAATATTTAGTAACTTAGCTATTCAATTTTTGCTGCAGTAAGATGTTATATAAAATACAATTGCAAGTACTAATAGTGGAGCTAAAGTCAAACTATTAATGTTTTTATGTATTTATGTGTAATATTTTTCAATAATACTGAATATTGGGAAGTTATACCTCCTGTGAAAATATGGGCAAACATTTTCCAGCTAAAGGCATGTAATATAAAATGTATCACCATAATAATGGGGCAGAACATGGTCACTTAAACAAACTCATTTCACAGCCGTTTTATGCAGCCGACACGGACAGGCAACGACCCACGCAGTGTGTGGCCTAGGCCGTGGTCTATATGGACTGCAACCCCTGAWTTGATGTAGGTATCTTCGCAATGGTAAATTGATGGAGATGGAAAATCTCACAAAATACGGCTCACGTGAAACACTACAAAATGTTTGTGATTGAAGTTTTAAATTGGCAGCAATCCATGTTGGTTTTGGTCCTGCTTAAGCTAGCTGTTAGCTCATTAASCTSGTCACGATTTAACTCTATTTCTCTAAACCGAGGCTGTTCAAAAAGCTATCTACAACAGGTAAGACATTAATTGTTCAYATCCTTTCCACACAACCCTTGCCTGAAATAAGCTGAACTTTTCCTCTAAGCGCCCCAAAGTGCTTTTTCATGGATGTCTTGATGAACAGATGAAATCAGAAAGTGAGACATTAATGTATGCTTGACTCAAAGTGGTCTTCTCCCTCTTGCAGGCTACAGTACTTCCTTTAGCTGTAACACAATAAATATTGATTTTGCATCTCTTTGATTCTAGTGAAGAAGACATTTCCCTCACAAATGCACACCTCTCGTTTCAGTTTTGTTTGTGGGATAGACCTGGCAGCTCTCATGAATCCTTGCTGCTATAAGCGCTGCACACAGTTAATTTTCCATTTCCCATACGATGCCGAGTTGCTAGCCAGAATGAGGCACAGCGCTCCTCTTAAAACAGCGCTGGAAACAATGTGTGCTTTGATACCCTGTAACTATTCAGCCTTGAAGAGTGTGATCAAAAGGTTCCTTTTTTCTTCATGTTTAACACGACTGTGGTCTCACAGGTTGCAGCTGCAAAACAGCCCGCTGATAGCCAAACGTATCTTTTACCCTGACTAAGGGTGAGYACAGCTGATAGGAGTCGTCAGATGTGGCTTTCAAAGATAAGGACATAATGTGCTCCAGGGCAAGGCATGCAATTACTCAGCACATGGCTGTCACAAAATGCTGGGACTCRTTCAGTCTTATATTGCCACACAAACACAAGCAAACTCCTTCTTGTTCCACGCTAATGAAGCTTGAGCTGTGTGATCTTCTTTTTTTCTCTTACTGCTGCTTGTACATTATCAAATGTAAGGTACAAGTCAAATTTGCTTCCCGTAAATAAAAAAATGTGACTTTTATATGCACTGACATGTCTGAAGCTCTCAATTATTTCTGACTTCTCTTTGTGCGCACGAAGACGCAATATGAATCGATATCCCAGCCTCCTGCAGAAAAAATAAATCACAGATTTGCTGGGCACGCTGTGATTCACTGTGAGGTTGTCAAACCAAAACAACTGACAGAGTGCAGAAAAATATCTGGGGGAAAAAAAAGAAAAAAAAACTTCAACTACAGCTATTGTACTTGGAGAAAATGTCTGCTAAGTCATATTTAAATGATTTAGTGGTGTGAGTACAGTGCAAACATGAGTATTTGTATACATGTATACGTCTGCGCAAGTCTGTTTTTGTTTGTGTAATATCTGCATGGGAAAGTAAAGAAAGAATGAGCCGTGTTTTAAAAGCAGGCCGATGAGCTGTCAAAGCACCAAATAATAAAGGCTTTACAGGAGACGCAGATAATGACTCTGACGTTACGGTTTGATGAGATTGTTAATTAAGTTGACTAATAGCAGCTAAAATGTGTTATTGTACTAACATAAAGAAAGAAAATAGAATAAGGAACACTAAAAAAAGCAACTTTCATTCGAGTCATAATCCATTTTGTGTAACAATACCACACTGTAAGAATGTGCTTGCAGCTCTAAAAAGACACGGATATCTTCAGGGGTGAAAAACTTTTGTTTTTTCTCTGTAATAAAGCAGCAGTTATCCATCTTTAAACTCCTCATATTCTGACATAAAAAGGCTGTGATTCTCTGCACAGACGTTTTTACAGTAGTGCAAAGATGTAATCCTTAGTAACAATAAAATGAGTCTAGCAGGGTGCTGCRCTGCCGATGTCTTGGTAAGACTGTATTTATGCTGCATTACATCCACGTCTTAGGTCAGACATTTCCAAGCTGCACATTCTAAATTCAGAGCTCAAAATGTTACACAACAGAACAGTAAGACAGGCTGTGCAAAACAAAACAAAAAAATGTTTGTAAGATTAGCTGAGTTTCAGTGAAACTCACCGTGTTTCATCGTAATTTGACAAATACCTTGAAAATAATGTACAATTCTCAGCTCAACTTTATTTATACAATACAGCACTTTTCAAATGTAGCAATTCAAAAGATCTGTTAGTGCTTTAAATGTGCAATATGCTAAATGGCTTGAACTTATATAGCGCCTTATTGAGTCCACATGGACCCCAAGGCACTTTACACTTCAGGCATTCACCTTTTCACACACTGAACAGGGAACGGGGGATCAAACCAGTGACCTTCCAGTTCCAGGACGACTCCATTAACCACTCCGCCACAGCGGCGTCCCACATATGAATGAATAGCAACTACCACACAGCTCTTCAGACTTCTTCAGTCTAAGAGTTTCAGGCAAAATTCAGGCCTGAATTTAGCCTGAAACTCTTAGACTGAAGAAGTCTCTTGGAGGAGAGACGAAACGTTTCATTAGAGAAGAACCCGTCCAGAAGACCTATACAATTTTTTTTTCTTTTTTCAGTGTAGTATTGTCAATCACTGAAAGGGGGATATTTCTGACACAGAATGCTTTCATGTTTCTCTTTATGTTGATCTGTATGTTATTATAATGTAACTTSAGCAACATGTAGATCACACATCAAGTTACCTTTGCTGCGACAGAAGAGCTTGGCTTTTCCAGGAGATCCCAGAGTTTCTTCCGCTTCTCCGCGCAACAAGTGTTGTCGAACTCTTCTCCCTCCCTGTCCTTCAGATTGTCCGCCTCCCGCTTCAGCTCCTCGTTCATCTGCTCCTTCTTCTGGTGGTACCTGGCCTGGCAGCAGGACTCCAGGTAGATCTCGTCGATGCCCCAGTAGTCGAGCTCCTGGCTGAAGGACAGGGCRCACATCTCCTCCATCATGTGCAGTTTGCCCGTGCGGTAGAAGTTGAGGATGGACGTGAACGCCCCCGGATGCCGGTCGAAGAAGTACTCGTTCTCCTCGAGGTTGTAGTCGTCGCAGACCTCCATCAGAGACTCGTGGGAGCTGCACTCTCTCAACTTGCCCAAGCGAGTTCGTGGCAGCCTCTCCAACGTTCGCCACAGGACCTCGTGTGGCAGCCCCCCAACGTTCAGCCGGACCCTGCGGTAACACGATTTGCTGTGGATGATGTCCACCGGTTCCGGCGGCAGCGACGATGTCGACCGGGATCCGGCTTTGTTTAACTCCGAGGACTTTTCCATGATGACTTTGAGTTGAGGAAGCATAAACATCTGGGACTAGAGACTGCAGCTGATCTTATCTTCTGGTTTGGTATCTAAAGGAATCATCAAAAAAACAACAACAAAAGAAATAAAGTATTAGTTCTCATCAACTGTGCCACAATTAAGGAGTCATGTGATTCTGAACTATAATGATTACACTTTGAGGTTTCTTAACTTCCATCAAAGCTTACTTTGAGTTCAAAAGCCTGTTTTTGTGCTTCCAATCCTTTAAATGGAGCTCTTCAAGATGGCAAAATTATTCAATGACTGAACAGCTCTACCCACCACTCTGAAGCGGTTATTTTTCATTCCATTTCTGCTTAATTTCCTGTGCCAGTTCCTGATTAAATTCTCATAGACTGAAACAAATGCATAAATACTGTAAATAAATGAAACAATAATAGGAGATCAGATTAAAAATATATCTTTAAAATGTTTATGCTGGAAATAAGACTAATAACTTCACATTTTATATCAAACTATTTGTTGCTGTTGTTGTTCTTAAGATCAACATGAAACAAATCATTTTTCGTTTCCTGAATCAGCTACAAAGCCTGCATTAACAGGAAGTACAGAGATGACTCACTGTTTAATAGCAATGCAAGAAACAGCATTATGTCCTATTTTGTATGGCCTTAATCCCAACCAATCGRTGAAAAGAATTAGGTTCTATAATACAACTTTATAACCAAAACAGAGTGGCACATGAGGGGCATAAACAGAAATTATTTATCTTCTATTTAAGATGAACAAAACTCTTGCAAATACAGTACCTCAAACTGACTGAGTTATGGCCTTTTTTGGGTGTTTGCAGTGAGCTGTGGCAGACATCTTGAATTAGGTTAATGACAAAATTAACCAGGTGTAGACACGTCTAATAAATACTTCCTGAAAGTTTCATTAAAATCCATCATTGGGCTCATGATAACAGACAACTAACAGACAAACTGGGTTGACTCCTACAGATAATGCTAAAGTTCTAAACAAGTGTTTCACACAATAAGGTAGCACTTGGGATATGTGTTGTGAACAACTCTCAACTGCCAACATTTTAGCTCAATGTCAATAAAACTGCTGAAATATTAGCATTATTTTGCTTTTTAAAGTCAGCTGGCTGTTGTGGTCATCTTGACTTGAGCTGCAGCCCCAAAACCTAATCAGTTGTAGATGTATGTCTAATAATGTTTTCCTGTAAGTTTTTTAAAACTCCATCCAATGTTTCATGAGTTATTTTGCTAACAGACAAAGCGGACTCCACAATAATTAATGGCATTTTTTTAAGTAAAGACTTGCACATTCTATTAACACTGAGAATATACATTAGGGATCCACCTCAGCTACAAGCACATTACATTTTAGGTCAGTTTCTCTGACAGGGACAGAGTAAGAACTATTTTTGTGTTTTTAGCTCTGGTAGCCATCTTGATTCAGGCTAACTCCTAAAGTTAATCCCTTGCAGACAGTGATTACTTTCTGAGACCTTCAGTAAAATCCAACCTCTGGTTCATGAGCTTTGCAGACAAATGAACACAAACACGAACACCATTTCTCTCTAAGTGGCAGGCGATAAGAAATAAAACAGTTGCCTTTAAATTCTCACAAACTGAACTGGATTCAAGTGATTATTCTGAACCAGAGATAAACATGTCCAAACATGGGGTTCCTGAGATGACTCACACTCCCCCCCAAAAAAATCCAGCCTGCAGAGTCATTTTCACTCATGGCTTGAAAACATGAAAACAGCTCAGATGGATTCATCTTTTTTCCTATCCTGAACTTTGTCAAAGTGATCAAATCAAAGCTCTAATTGGGTTGATTTGATTAGAAACAAATCTTAAAGATTATTCATCTTACTTGGATGCAAAGAACCTAGGTAGAGATCTTGGTTTTAAAAGCTTGGTTTTGAATGTTGCAGGGWTTTTTCCCCCCTCTTCCTGCTCTTTGCTCCAGTGACGCCCATGCAGAGCTGTGGGTGGGACGCAAAGTGAGCGCTGTCCAGCCCAGCGGTGCTGAAAACACCAGGAAGTGCTGCTTTTTTTTCTCCTGTCCTCCTGCGGGAGTGAGGCTGGCTGACAGGAAAACATCTTCCCTGCTTTTTAAACCTTTTTTTTATGATGGTGACAGCAGCTGCACACACAGCTGTCTGAGACACACACACAGAGAGCAGAGGCCTGTTGATGTGATCAAAGTTTCTCCTCAAACACAAATAGATCCCACTGTTCTGTCAAGATGCAAAAATCCCTGCAAAAATGAGGATCAACACAATATGTGAATCTGGGCTGATTTGAGAACAGGCTGTTACAGGCTGCGGGGGGAAAAAAACAGAGAAATAAATAATTTGAAGCATCCCTCCCTCCCTTTTCTAAGTCAGAGCTTTGATGAAGCAGCAAAGCAAACATCCCTCCCTCATATGCAAACACAGCAGCTCTAACCCATCTACTCATCTGAAAGTGCAACATTTTTACCCATTAAGTAAATGAATGTTCCATATTGGGTGCAGCTTGGTGGGCTCGTGCTAACAACTGGCAGGCTGGCATTATGAGTCAAAGTCCAGAGATGGAAATAAGCTTAAAAAAAAAACAGAAAAATAAAAATACCGTGGTGGGATGTTGTCATCCTGCTCTGGATCAATTTGCAGCCATGAAACTGAAGAAGAAGAAAAAAAAGCATTTAAAATGAAAAAGGGATTAAAAAAGAAAAAAAACACAGGAGACGTCGATGTTGCCAGGATTTAACCCATCTCCTCCTCCTCTGCCTCCGACATGGCAGAATGTTTTCAGTGCAAGATCTTCAGCTCGATTCAGAGCCCATCCGCCCCGGCTTCCCGCTCCGCATGTCGCGCTTGCCTCTCTCTCCTGCCTGCCTTTTTTATATTTATTTATTTATTTTCCTGTCCGGTAGATCAACAAGTCCGAGCCGGCAGCCTGTTCGGACAGAGTACCTGTGTTTCCAGTCAGCTGTGTGAGGAGGCGCCGCAGCTCCGTGGAGGTGGATCCATGGCAGCTCCGAGCCCCACATCTGCTTAACTCTTTCTGCACCGAGTCCCCCTCCTCTGGAAACACGCTGCTGCTGCTGCTGCTGCTGCTGCTGCTGCTGCTGCTGCTGCTGCTGCTGCTGCAAGAGGAGGACTAGAAATGATCCCGTAATCTAAAGCTATTTATTACAAACTATGTGATCAAACATCATTTGAAAACGTTTACAGTGAACTGTATCAAACTGGCGTTTGAAAGAGTTTACTGTAGTCCATAGTTTTCCAAATGTATTGATGTGTAGTTCTAAACTGCGGGCACATGCTCAATGTAAACAAAGCACTTTTATCATGTTTTTCCATTTAGCTGAGCATAAATACCAGCACATCAAAATTGCCAGTCCTCCACCAACCCCCTTTTTTAGTCACTCTGGCTTTTTTCCACTTGCCAAGTTTATTTATTTATTTATTTATTTATTTATTTATTTATTTATTTATTTATTTACTTATTTACATTTGGAACCCTGCTCATGTATATAACAGTATTATCCTCCTGGAATGCTTCTTAGCAGGAGAGACAGGAAGTGCTGTGGATCACACTTCGAACAAGACAGTTACGGCATTAGGAGTGCATCCTCTCCAGCTTTGTTATGTAAGATGGACAACTCCCATCCATCCATCCATCTATCCATCCATCCATCCATCCATCCATCCATCCATCCATCCATCCATCCATCCATCCATCCATCCATCCATCCTCTTTGCTTCTTCCTTTCAGGGTGATGGGGTCACTGGTACTTATGTCCAACAATCACTGTGAGAGAGGTGATGTACACCCTGGACAGGTCACAAGTCCATCAGGGACATATAGAGAAAAGCAATCTTTCACTGTCTCGCTCACACAGAGGGACAGTTTATAGACTTACCAGTTTGCCTAACAGTCATGTTTTTGGTCTATGGGAGGAAAGGAGTATTCGGAAAAAACCCACGCATGCATAGAGAGAACATGCAAACTCTAACCAGAAAGTTCCCCTGCCGGGATTGGATCCGGCAACCTTCTTGCTGGGAGGCAACAGCACCATCAATCATTCACACAAAGGGGCTATACTGTGTCATACATTTGCAAGTCTGGTTTTAGTTTAAAGAGGTCTATGTCATGTTTTGGCTGTGCCATCTGCGCTCCTGTCACTCACACTCAGCTCTCCTGTTCATGCCACGCCTCCTCATTCAGTGCCACAGCAATCAGCCTCATCTGCCTCACCTGTTCTCCCTCCTATTTAAGCTCCATGCCTCCACTCTGCCATTGTCTGATTATTGAACGGTTTTACCAAGTAGATGTCTAGCGTTTTGTCACAGTCCCAGCCCGATCTTCTGTCCATGATCCTRTGCTTGCCTCTTGACTTCCCTTTTTTTGCCTGATCCCTGCCTTGGTACTGTTCATGATTCTGACCCTTAGATYAAGACCTCGTTTTTGCCCCTTGGACCTCGCCTTTTGGATTACGATTTGGATTTGTTACTGGATCTCTGACCTCCCGGCTCTGACCTTGGACCGCTCCCTCACTGGGTACTGAACCCTCACGGACCAACAACATCAGTGGACTTACCCAGTCCCCTTTGWCCGCCGTTGGAAGTTGTTCTGAGTCCTAACAACAGTCTTGTCAGTCAATGTAGAGTTTGTTTCTTAGGTGAATAAAAAAAAACCTGAAACATTTTTTAATTTAATGTTATGAGTTCAATAAATGAACTCACTTTAACATTTTAATATGTCAGTTATTGTGTAGTGTTGTTTTGAGAGTGTTTATTTTTTATGTGAATCTGTAAAAATCCAGATCATCTAATCCATTTCACATCAATTACAGCAGTTATCAACACAGGAATGGGGTACTTTAAGCTCCATTTATTAAGTTATCAAGGGAAAGAGTTGAGATTTTAATGAAGAAAAAACAGAAGACAGCAGATAAAATACCCGGATCTGAAATTTAGACTAACAACTAAAAAAAGGCATAAGCAGTAACATGTACAGGTCCTTCTCAAAAAATTAGCATATTGTGATAAAGTTCATTATTTTCTGTAATGTACTGATAAACATTAAACTTTCATATATTTTAGATTCATTGCACACCAACTGAAGTAGTTCAAGCCTTTTATTGTTTTAATATTGATGATTTTGGCAAAAACATAAAGAAAAATAAAAAAAATCCCTATCTCAAAAAAATAGCAAATCATGAAAAGGTTCTCTAAACGACTTATTAAC